GGTACTTGTAACTAGTTTATAAGCTTCTTGCATATGACTAACCATCTTAATGCAACATTGTACTGGGAATATAAATAATTCCCTTCCTAACTGCATTTTTTGGGATCAAACTAATATTTTGAACTTTCCAAGATTCTCTTAAATTTTAGTGGAAAGAATGGTACAGATAAGAAAATAATTATTTCTCATGAACTCACCTCTATAAGTTACCTATGTCTTAATATCTGGTCAGTTTTCTAAATTGAATTTGAACTTGTCAAAAATTTAAAATAATTGCCCAATAATCTCTGGAAAGACCAATTCTAATCCCCCACCCTCAATGACCTCACCTTCTAAAAAGGCCTCAGTTCTGCAGCCCATTAATCAATTCAGTGAAAACTACCTATGACAGAGACAGCTGTCATCCTGCAAACCTGGTTCCCAGCCCCCAACAACTATCATGATTCCTCTATCATGAAACCACATCATATAGCCCATAGTTCTAACTTGAATGTTCAGGCAGTTCTTAAACACACCTAAAATCACGTGACATAAATGGAAACTGAAAACTATAGTAATGATCTTTAAACCAGGCTCCATGTAACCACAAGTTTCTTTTGTGGAGGCAGGAATCCCTGTAGACATATTCATTTCACATCTGCATCACCCTTACCGGGCCACAATCTTATATTTGTAATTCTTTTGAAGTAAACTATCAACAGAAGAATTTCAAATACTTTTGAGTCTGAAAATTACTAAGTTTAAAAGTTGTTAAAGCAGCATATGTTTCCCAAAGTAATAGCCTACGAGAATCAATTGCTATGGACTGCAGGGGACATCCTTATGAATGAAGGGGAGTACTTAATACCTGCAAAGCAGGTTAACTTCTCCTATAAAAGCATAAGGTAAACTATGGGCCATTCATTCAAATGGCCTCATTTTTAAAAATCTCTTGTTTTGCAAAAGGATTCCCTAAAGTAAATGATGAGAGCAATTCATACAAACAAAAATGTAATTTCAATCATGCATAGTCTGTGGCAAACTCTCACATTATGGTTTAGAGCCATTACTTAAACTACATTTGCTAACTTCCCACCTATTACTCCTCTAACACAAAAAAACGGCGACCTGGCTTTTTTTTTTTTTTACCTCCAAGAAACAATGAAGCCAGAAGTGGACTCTCCCCCTAGACAGACCTTCCCCACCCCCACCCCGCCACGGCCATCACAGGGCTGGTTGCCCACAGTGCTGACCCACATTTTCCTCTTCTGTCAATCAAGGATAATATCACTTACCTCGCTGAATAATAGTGAAGATGAAAAGAGAGCCTGTATATCAAGGGCCTACTACAGTGCCTGCCAGACATTGGGCCCCTTTAATCCTCTGGCTCAGCAAGCGCCCCCCATGCCGCAGACAGCAGGGAGAAGGCAGGCCTGCAGACAGGACCTCCCGCAGACTCCTCCTCAAACCTTCAAACCACACTCCCCTCTCCTCCTGCAAAGGCCGAGATGCACCTTCTGAGTTATAAAGTTGCCTCAGCTTCAGGTGGGACTTTGTTCCAGGATATCCCCCGGAGAGGGGGTAATTATGCATTCGGCCTTTTCTTTAGTCTCCTAGGGTTGGCTCCCGCCTTTCAGCGTTAAACACATTCTAGTTACTTGCTTTAAAAAAGAAAGGAACTTCCCTGACTCCACCTCCGACAGTCCTATCTTTTGCCTCCGCTTCAAGGCCACATTTTTTAAGAGTTGTTTGCGCTGGTTGTGTCCCGGTCCTCACCTCCCACTCACTCCTCCTTTTGCTTTAATTTGGCTTCAACTCCACCAAACCGAAGAAATATTTGTCAGCAAATCACCGAGTTCCTGGTCGCTCCTTTCAGTGGCCATTGCAACATCAGGGGCTGACGGCTCCCCTTGAGCCTGGGTGTCTAAAACGTTCTTGTGTTCCGTCCTTCCCCGTCTCCTTTGCTCATTTCTCTGCCTCTGCAATCCCCCAAATGTTGGTCTTTCTCAAGGCCCATTAAATGACTCCTTTCTTCTTCATCTCTCCTACCCTCAGATGTCCTCTCATTCTCAGGGTGTCAGGCAACAGAGTGATCATCTGTCCTCACTTTCCCCAAACGGCTTTGGTTTATGCCTGTTTTCCCAGCATAATTATTAATAGCACCACTCCCTCCAAGAGTAACAATGGGCCATCCCCTTATCAATTCCCATTTGTATGCAGATGACTCAGAATCGAGGCAATAGAGCCCAAAGCCCAGAGGGAGGGCCCGGAGTCAGCCGTCTGTGGGTTTAGATCCTGCTCTACCACTCACTGGCCCCAGACCCTGGGCAGGTTTAGCAACCTCTCTGCTCTGAAGAATCCTCATCAACAAAATGGGAATAACGTGGCTATGGATTTCTTTACAAGTGAGAGTTGCGTGAGAATATATAAAGTCATCAACACGATGCTGCCACATTTTTAAGAGGCCAGTGAATTCAGCTATTATATCTTTCTCTAGCCCAGCCCTGTCTCCTGAGTTCCAGATACATTTGGGTAGGGAGAGTAGAGTTCCATGGGGGTGGGGGGTAGTGCTGAGGGTGGGAGCCCACAGGAGTGACAGTCTATGCGGCCCCACCAATTCCCAGTTCTCTATACACCCATTTATTCTCCCATCAAACTGTGGCAGAATTCCTAAGATACTTCTCTCCTGACCTTTGAGCCACCTTCCTAAAGGTGAACACTGCATTGACCATCAAAGTGAACGACGGTTGCTTGGCCGCGTATTCTCGCCCCGCATTTTCTGAGAGCTGCTGTATGATTGTGCTTGAAACAGTAACCGGGGATACATAACTGGGTGGGACAAACAGTATAGTTTTATATGTGCTTTTTCACATACAATGTTATCTAGGTTTTTAAAGTTTCATATTCATTTGATATGTTAGCATAACTCCAACATTTTTGCATTCTATCACGTATTTTTTTAATTTAGGCTATGATCCTTACTTCTTTGGATAGTCTCAAAGCTTGTGGGTGAATTATAGGATTTGTGTAAGGTCAGAGGGCTTTTTTTCATCTCTTTAGGTTTGCTGCTGTGACTCATGAACTCCTTCCTCCTACAGAAATTCTATTCCTTCTTTAAGACTCACTTTAAAAGGCAATTCGGAGAGCCTTCTCTGTTTTCCCAGACAGAAAAATCTCTTCCTCTTTTCACAGATGCCCCTATTTAACATTTGGTTCTGTTTTGCATTACAATGAACTGCCATGTGCCATTCTATCCCAATCTATCCTAGTCCTTTTTGGCAGAAGTGGGTTCACCCATCCTTGTACCCCTCAGGGCCCAGTGCCTTATGCCCAAGAATAGTCAGCATCCACTGAGCATGTGCTCTGTGCCAGGCCTATTCTATCTCACAACCAGTGAGGTAGGAACTATCATCATCTGCTTAGCTGAGTAAACTGAGGCATGGAGAGCTGATGTAAATTGCCCAAGATTGCCCAGCTAGGAAACTGGCAGAAATGGTCTATTATTGACAGTGAATTTTCCCATTGCTTAGATAAGCTTAAGGTTTCCTTTTATTTATTTAGGAGGAAATATGGCTCCAGAACCTGAGCTTTCAACCTCACCTCTAAATATATGTTGAAATTAAGAGGAAAGAATAATCTTATCTAGAAAGAATTATTTGCATGTAGTTTTCCTTGTTATTCTCTATGTTTCTTCCACTTCCAAAGCTCACTTCATCTCTGTGTTCCTCGGATTTTCATCCTTTAAATGGGAGAAATAGCACCTGTGTAATGTGTAATGTGTGTAATCTCTAAGGAGATTACACAAAAGAGCTTTAAAAATGGACATCATTTTATTATTGTTGTTATTACTAACACTGTTGTACCTATATTCTATGTGCAACCGTGTTTCTATCAAAAAAAATTTTTAATTTTAAAATGCGATTCCAGGAGCCCATCTCTGCTTGCCTTGGTCGCTGCACACACCGTTTCCTAGAAGGTTCTGGAAGACCTGGGTTCCCACGCCTCTGCCTGTTGGCAGTGGGACTGACTTTCCGGGTTCCAAGCTCTGTGGCATGGGACAGAGAACAAGGGCCAGGGGCTGAGAAAGCTGAGGAACTTGCTGGAGAAATGAATGTCCTGTCCCCCAGGCACACAAACTAACTTCTCCTGTTGGGCTTTTTCCCAAGTCATGGTTTTCCTCCCATCAGCGCCAAGTTTGCATCTGTTGAGCTTCTCCTTCTGCTGCCACATCCAGCAGAGCTCCCCACTTCTCCCTGGTCCTCCAACTCCACGTTTAAGTCAATAGCTCTGCACTGCCTACCTGAGAGTTAATTGTGGAAATCAAAGGAAATGCTCTGTAAACTCTACAAATGTTCATTGTGACTGTTATTCTGAGCCACCTCAGCATATCGGGGGGATAAGCTTAGTGGTTAAGGGAATGGTCCCAGTTAAGTGAAGTATTTAACTTACGATTTAGTAACACTGATTTCACTTATTATTTAGCACCACTAATTATTAGTAACATTATTTAGTACACCCTCCAGTGGTATTTATCTGATATCTCTTTCTTCCTCCTAAGAACCCTCAGAGACAGGTACTCTATTTTTCTCCATTTTACACATTGAAAAATTAAGGTTAAAAGATTAAGTAATCTGCCCGAGGTCATCCATTTTCTAAAAATCAGTCTGGAAGTCAAAGCCGATGCCAAGCCTTTGTGGTCAACCACAACATACAAGATTGCACACACAACAGATGCCTCGCATCCCTTCTCTATCTAGTTCAGGACTAAATTGGCTGTTTCCTTTCCCTGCTCCTTTTTAGAAATGTGGGAGTTTCTAAATCACTAATACTTTGTTATTACCAAGTCCCAACTAGTACTGGTACTCCCTAGTGCTGTTCAGTCACATTGGGTGGGCCGGAGTGGGCCAGGATGCCAATCTCTTCCTGCCATAAGTGCCCAGGAAAAGAGAGCCCCAAGAAAGGCTGGTCAGAAATACAAAGTCAATGCTGAAAATACAATGGTAAAACTAGAAAGTACTTACTCGTTAAAGTAAGCGGTGATTTGGGAAAACGTCTGTGTCAGTTGACCCTAGCTCTCTTCCCCAGACAGAGTCCTTCCTCCCCCGCCGCGGAGCAGAGGAGCCAGGCTGGAGAGCCCAGAACCTGCGCTATGGCTACGGGGAAATGAATTAGCCTCTGGGCGCCTGCGTCTGGGGAGAAGATGCCATTTCCGGTGGCATCTGGGGCAAATGGCACGAGTCAGCGTTTGCTTTCTCGCTTTAGAAGGCGGAAGGATAATGGTCGAAGCTCGGAGACCTTGATGTACCAGGAAAACATGAAGCGGTAAGTCAATACAGAAGGCAACATCTTCCTGGGATTGGGCTCTGAACTTGTTTTTGTTTCACTTTTCTCAGTAATTTGGGTGTAATTTACATTGGCTCTTTGATTTATTTTAGCAATTCAAAACCTCGGCTCATGTTACCCCTCCCACCGGTGCTGGGTGTTCACCGCTGAAAAGGTGTTCGGAAGGCGGAAAAAGAGGAAGTGGGAAGAAGAGAGAAACGGGGAAGTGGTGGGAGGACCGGAAGATCGTGGCCTCTCCTAGCTCATAGTTGAGAGTGGTAATCCTGAGCTTCTGTGTGGTGTGTCACAGCTGGCAAGCCGCTTTCCAGTCCTTTCCCTTGGTCTTCCCACCAACCTCTTGGTGGAGGAACAGCCCGGTCCACGTCTGTGGGGAGAACAAGACAGGCCTGGGCAGCGCCTCCACTAGAACTTTCTGCGTCCTCCTCCAGTGTTCCTCCCGCCCGGCAGGTAAGGGAGGGGACTGTGTGCTAAAAGGGGACATGGTCTTCTGATTGATTGGATGAGGGCAGACCTTTGTTTTCTTTTGTTTGGAATGGTGTGATTTGGGAGAGGAGCATCTATCAGTTTCCCTACAAATATCAAGTGGGCCTTCTATGAATATTTTAAACACCATAGGATAGAGCATTTTCCCATTATTGGTATTGTTGGGGCTCAAATCATACCACTCCAACTCATGACTGTAGGAGACCAGAATACACCATGCCAAAATATATTTCTTTGGCATATTTTTGAGCTGATCATTCTGAGAAATGGTAGATACAGGAGTAGCTCTGAAAAGCTGTCCTTTTGTAAAAGAAATCTACATCAGTGAAAGTATCTGTTGGGAAGACGGCTGCTCCGGACAGCTTGTATTAGCCAAGAGACTTTATCTGCAGCCCAGCCCATAACTTGTCGCCACCTCACTCCTGAATCCCCAAGTCCCTATTCTTTCCTGTGGATCAGGATGCTACCCATGCAAACCCGAATCATCTGTGGGACTCCTGTGTGTATACATGTAATTAAATATGGTTTTCCTCCTGTTAATCTATCTTATGTCAATTTAATTCACAGCACAACCAAAGAAACTGGAAGAGTGGAGGAAGCCATTTTTTCCTCCCCTACTGTATAAGGTAACTAGCAAACTAGTAACAGATTTCAAAACAGTCCTGAATGACATGTCCTGCCTACTGAGGTTTTTTTTTAATACTATGCTATTTATGTAAACTGCCCTATAAAGTGTCATAGTTGTCTTTCCTTGAAAAATATCATTTTACTTTGACTACCCAGTGTGTGCTTAAAATTAATTCCATACATTACACATTGTTTTCACCCTTTTGTCTATAGCCATCAATCGAATTACTTTGCATTTTATCATGAATTTTAATATAATCATTACCATGATATTTAATACAATCAAAGCAGGGCTTCGATCTAGAAACCAACTGATAATTTTAGTATTTTAAAATTTGGAATAGTAAACTTTAAAAATTTGCCATTATTTGATTCTAGCAAACCTATAAATGAGTTGCAAATCTTTCCCATTCTCCAACTTCCAGCTAGTCTGTGCACTGTGAGAATAAAAGAACATTCTAGGGGAGGATGACTAAAATCTTTGTAATCATCCCAAGACCAGAGAACAGAGGAGTTGTGATAATGCAAATGATAATTATGCTTATACTCTTGAAACTTAAAGTCATTTGAGATCAAGCAACAGATTTTCAACTGATTCTCTTGCTTCCAAGAACTTACTATGATATGTGTAGACAGCGACTATTGCTATTCTGGCCCCGTTTCATGTTCCAGAGCTCAGTGAGCTGTCTTTTTTCTTACCCACCGAACTTGGCTTTTTCCTTAAAGATAATGATAACTTATGTGCGTGTAAGGTTTTACACCTAAAATGTGCTTTCTCACACAGATCTCCTTTTATTCAGTAAAGTGAGCCCTAATTATTACCTTCCTTCTGCAGAAGCTAAAGCTGAGGCCCTGAAAACACTTAAATGACTTGTCACTTTGACGGAGCAGCCCAGGGACCGTGAGCCAGCTCTTCTATCTGTGCAGTGTGTCATCTTTGTGGCCCTGTCTGGGGGAGGCCATACACAGTGCACTGCCATTACTGTCCTTCTTAAATTATTTTGTTTACTTTTAGAAGGTAATTCATGCACAAAACATACCAGTGGTTTGACTGAGAAGTCAGTCTCCCCTCCTTTCTTGTTCCCTAATCTTTCAGTTTCCCTTCTGGAAGCAAAACTACCACTGGTTTCTTGTTTGTTCTGCCAGCAGTACTCTATAGAGATATTCTAAATATCTCTGAAATATTTTATTATCTCTTCCTTCCTTATTAAAGTTTCAACATCCCTTCTTATTACAGGCAGTTGTCTGGAAAAAAATATGAGCATCACTTAGAACAGATGTTAAACTCAGAAATTCTTTGGTAAACTGATCATGCAGATTGTTGGAAACATCCAGATGTTTGAAATGGTATAGAAAACCTGTTACTCACAACAGCCTGCAAAAAGAGGTAAGCTAAGCTGGCCCTATACAGCATGATAACTAAACTAGGCCTCTGGCTCATGGTTACTTCTGAAAAGGTGAATGAATGACCCAAAGGACACATTTCATACACAGGTTATGTGTGAGGAACATGGCTGATTTATTCACCCGGGTGTGGGTGGGCTGAGTCCGAAAAGAGAGTCAGTACAGAAGGGGATTTAGTGAGGTTTTTTATAAATGGGGATAGCCGACCCCCTTCCACCTGCCCTGTTTAGTTCTTTGTTTCTGGGCCAAACTGGTAGGTGAAGAATTGCTTCCTGCTATCTGTTTCCTGCAATCTGCTAACTGCAGATCAGTTTGTAGTAAATTCTTCAATGAACCAACTCCTAAGACCCCTTTGCCCTAGTCACATCCATCCTTCTGTTCTGGCCTTCTCCTTATCAGGAGAGCTAGGGAGGGAAAGCCTTGGTCTCCATCAGGGAGGGAGGGGGAAGGAATGCTGGCTGTAGCTGTCTGCCAGATCTACAAAGTCCAGGGACTCCCCGGCTTCCTCTGGCTATTGCTTTATAAGTCTGAGTTTTCCATTAGCCACATTCTGTCCTATACATACTTTCCAGAGTCCCACCTGGAATAAACCTAACAGTTACCTATATGGAGACCACTCAAACTTCAATACTGATTAGTGCTACAGTGACTGCATGTGTGTTGACAGTGTAGACTGAAGCTAAAGCTGTGATGCTGTGAAATAAGCGAACCATTAGATCCTCTGGCTTGAGGGCCAAAAGGCTTGGGTTTAAAACCTCATTCAGTCACTTATGACTGCATGATCTTGGCAGTCACTTAACTCCTCTGTGACTCAATTTTCTCATTTGTAAAATGGTGACAATAATAACCACTATATAGATGCTAAGATTAAATGACAAAATACACCTAGAGTACCAGGCACATAGGAGGTTGTAATAAAAGATCTCTATCATTATCCATGGCCTATCCATTCATTCTCTTTTTTCTTTCATTCGATAGTTATGACAGGCACTGTTCTAGGTGCTAGGGAAACAGCAGTGAAGAAAACATGAACAACAACAAAAAAACCCTGCCCTTATAGAGTTTATATTTGAGTTGAAGGAGACAGACAATTAAAATAATAAGTAAGAGAATATGTGAGATAAACAAGAAAAGGAATAAGAGTGCTGGATGGGAGGAGGGGCGGTGCAGGGGCCATGGGCTGGAATTTAAATAGGGTGGTCTGGAGAAGGCTTCCAGGGGAGACAGACTTGAGTGAAGGCCTGAGGGAGGCGATGGAGCAAACCCTGGGGAGATCTGGGGGAAGGCAGCTCCAAGTGGAAGAACAGGAAGGAGGCAAGTATGACTAGATGAGAGTGAATGAGAGAGGCAGACTTAGAAGACAGAGTCAAAGAAGAAGGGGTGATCAGATCATGGGACCATGGAGGGCAGATCCTAGACCATTGAGACTACCTAGGCTTTTACTTTAGGAGCCACGGTGAGAGATCTGAGCAGAAAACGTTATACATCTTATCAGTTTTAATACGATTTCTGTTGAGAATAGACTGTACGGGGCAAGGGAGAAAGAAGCAGGGAGACCAATTGGGAAGGTACTGAATAATGCAGGAGTTGTGGCTTAGACCAGAGGCATATTAGCCAAGGAATGAAAAGTGGTCCGATTCTGGATATATTTTGAAGGTAGAGGCAATAGAATTTGCCTGTGCTGGACCAGGCACGGTGGCTCGCACCTATAATCCTTGCACCTTGGGAGGCAGAGGCAGGAGGATCACTTGAGCTCTGGAGTTTGAGACCAGCCTGAGCAAGAGTGAGTCCCCCGTCTCCACTAAAAATAGAAAAATTAGTCAGGTGTGGTGGCACATTAGTCCCAGCTACTCAGGAGGCTGAGGCAGGAGGGCAGTTGAGCCCAGGAGTTTGATGTTACAGTGAGCTATGATGATGCCACTATGCTCCACCCAGAGTGACAAAGCGAGACTCTATTTAAAAAAAAAAAAGAATTTGCCTGTGCAGAGATGGCAGGGCAGTAGCAGTATGAGAAAAGGAGAGGAGACAAGAGTGGCTCTGTGTTTTGGGCCTGAACAACAGGAAGGATGATGTTGTCGTTTACTGAGAGGAAAAACATTCAGGAGAAACAGAGTTGGCAGGCAGAGGTCAAGTGCTTGGTTTGGGGCTTGTTAGGTTGGAGATCCTTTTACATGTCTCTGTGATGATGTGAATGGGCACTTGCTTACACAAGTATGGAGTTTAGAGAAGCCCAGACTGGAAATATTCATTAGGTCTGGATGGTGTTGCCCATAAAGAAGGAATGCTAGAGAGGAAACAAGGTCCACGAGGATGTCAGGAAGAGGAGGAGGAACCTCTAAAGGACATGGAGAAGGAAGAGTGGTGAAGTAGGGAAACTAGGAGAGTGTGAGGTCCCGGAAGCGAAGAGGGCGAAGAGTTTCAAGGTAGGACTCAAAGGAGTATTGTCTGTGTCAGAAACAGTTGGCAAGTCACATGGGATGTTTGACCGCTGGTGGTAGCATCATGCAGGACACTAGTGACCTTGATGGGGCAGTGGGGACAAAGCCTGATTAGAGAGATTCCAAAGAGAATGGAAGGAATATTGGAGACAGTACTTCCCTCAATGAGTTTTGCTGTGATTAAAAAGAAGCAGAAACGGCAAGCTGTCCCGAGGGGGACGTGGGGTTAAGAGAGTTTTATTTTCTCGGAAGATGGGAACAATAGTATGCTTGCGTGCTTACAGGGACAACCCAGGAAAGGGTGAAGAGTAGATGATGCAGGAGGATTAGGGAGGATCCCTGGAGCAAAGTCCTTGAATTGATAAAAAGGGGTCTGATCTGATGCCTGAGTGGGGTTTGGCCTCAGACTGGGGCACGTCACGGCATCAGCTGAGAGTGGGCGTGGGTGGGGAGGTGGCATTAGAAGTCCGAGGAGAGGAAGGTATGCAGTGTTATGCAGGAAACGGGACAGGCCGGGCTTCCTGAGCAGCATGGAGGCTGCACGTTAGGCCGGGAGCCTGACTGTTTGATTTTCTCTAGTCTGTCTCATGGGTGCAGGTGCAGAGAAGGCAAAAAGTTGTATTTATTTTCTTCTACTTCTTTTTTTTTACTTTTTCTTAAAAAAATTTTTTTTTTTTTTATCTACTAAAAGCTAGTGCCCATTGGGAAAAAATTGTTTTTAATCAGGATTGGGGTTTTACCTTTCAGTTTGTATTAATGTGCTATTACAAATATATAATTTATTTAAAACCATGATTTATTTAAAAACCAAACCATAAAAGCTAAATATTTTAATTAGGCAGTGAAAAATATTCTGAATATAAGGGGAAAAATAATGGTCCTTTTATATCATCAACTCTTTAATAGTTCCAGCCACAGGTTAACTTTAATTTATCTTCATGTAAGCCATGATCATTTTATCTACATTTTGTATTTTAAGGAACACAGTTGTTTTTCTTATCTTCTTGGAAAGGAGTCCTACAAGTGGGCCAGAAATCAGTCCATTAAATATATACTTACAAATGAATTAGTTTTAGCTGGCTGGTGTGTGTTTGTGTTCAGATCTATTCCTGGCTACCTTAAAAAATGGACCAAATTTGGCAAATCACAAAACAATGTGTTTTTTTCTTTGCTTATATGACGTAAATAGTCTACATATTTTTGGTAACTTCTCTTCAAAGCACTTAACATTTAGCACTTTCAAGCACATATGAATAATGACTAATTTATTTCTATTGGGGTGCAAAGTCTTTTCTGATAGTATATTAAGAAATTTGAGGTTCTGGATTAAAACTTTTCATGAGTTCATCTTAGTAACAGAACTAAATTCTGCACTAAGTCAGTAATGCAAACTTTTCTGTTGTTGATAAGCAAGGCTAGAGTTGTTGGGATTTGGGAAGTTACAGACTGAGAAGAACCAAATAGATGGTTTCACTCGTTAGGGTGGATGGAATGGGATTTATAAAAGATCCCATTCTGTCAGGATTTCTTAAACGTTTCTATAAACCTTCTTAGAATTGGTATGTTTTATGCAAGTTCTGTATTCTTTTCCAATACAACTTAGTGGTTCAGGGTATGGCCTTGTAGGCAGAAAAGTTGAGTTCAGAGTTGCAAATCCTTAACTCACGAGCTTTGTAATTTGGGGAAAATCACTTAACCACTCTGGGCCCACTTCCAATTGCGAAGATTAAATATGCAAAGTGCTAAGCATAGTTGCATGGCACCTGATACACGCTTAGTTTATTCTATGGATTAGTATACATACATCTATGCTTTGTAATATAAAATAATACTTGAAGTGACTAACCACTAAATAAAATGTAAACACAGACAATTGTTACCCTGTTTTGTGGGCACAGTTCTCTGTACTGGTGTGACTCTATCCCTGCAGGAATAGACTGTGCAAGGGGTCAGGGATGACAAAATTCATCCTTAGGTCAAGTTGAGGCAGGGAAATCAAGAAACTGTCCCAGCTTAGCTTAAGGACCAGTCCCATAGTTCCAGAGCCACAGTTCATGAATTTTTTTAAGGGTTGTAAACCTTTTTTAACAGAGAGTAACTTAATATGCTAGGAGAATTGGGTCTTATTTACTAATGTCCCTAACCTCTAAATGATATTAAATTTTATTAGAAGACTGCAAGCCACAGGCTAAGTTTTCTGATTCCAGCAGTCTCTCTCTCTCTCTCTCTCTCTCTCTCTCTCTCTTTCATTTATCCAACTTAATCATTTCTAAGTGTACAGTTTAGTAGTGTCAGGTATATTCACAGTGGCATGAAACAGATCTCCAGAACTCTTTCATCTTGCAACTCTGAAACATCATATCCATTAAACAACAATTCTCCTTTCCCTCTTCTTCCCCAGCTCCTGGTAACTTTCTATTCCATTGTCCAGTTCTCTTAAATTCACCTGGTTACTATATTTGAGAGCACAGCTTTGTCAAACACCAGGCCAGTAGTTCTCAGATACCATATTTGAGATGTTTTATGGTCCAAGTCAGAAGACTCAGTTCTTTATTGAGGATAACAACTTTTCCTTCCCCCAACTCATGTTAGAATAAACTATGCAATGAAAGAACCTTCATCCCTAGATCTGAAAAAATCCTACAAGTATCATCTCTTCTCCAATCAGCAGAGATTGTCAAAGAATCTTACTTTACCTTTCATATTCATGGTCTTCATTTCTAAAATTTCTCATTAAAATGCCTTTTATGCCTACAGTATTCAGTACAGTAACATACTGTACATGTTTGTTGCTTAGGAGTATTTTTGAATATTAAAAAATTAAAAATAAATAAATAAAATGCCTTTTATTTTTCTTTCCAATTTATCATACCTGAGAGCTCTATCGACAACATTGGCAATTTTTAAAATCTGGATTAAAAAAAAAAAGCATGTTTTTTAGCGGCATCATAAATTAATTCTAACAGTGATACCATCATCTTTGCTAAAACTAAAATGCTAACCTTTCATTTATTTATTTATTTATTTAGAGACAGAGTCTCCCTTTGTTGCCCAGGCTAGAGTGAGTACCGTGGCATCAGCCTAGCTCACAGCAACCTCAAACTCCTGGGCTCAAGTAATCCTCTTGCCTCAGCCTCCCAAGTAGCTGGGACTACAGGCATGTGCCACCATGCTTGGCTAATTTTTTCTATATATATTAGTTGGCCAATTAATTTCTTTCTGTTTATAGTAGAGACGGGGTCTCGCTCTTGCTCAGGCTGGTTTCAAATTCCTGAGCTCGAGCAATCTGCCCGCCTCGGCCTCCCATAGTGCTAGGATTACAGGCGTGAGCCACCGCGCCTGGCCAACCTTTCATTTATTTGCATGGTGGGATTACATATGTAATAATTTTCTTTATTTTCAAAATTGTCTGAAATTTGGTCATATTACATTTATAAAGAAAAAGTTCTAACATTTTAAATGATATTAACTGCTAAATTCCTGAACATGAAGTTGTTTTGTCCAGGAAGGTAGAGAAATAGCTTTTTATTTTTTGTTTGTTTTGGGGTAGAGACTGCGTCTTCCTATGTTGTCCAGGCTGGTCTTGAACTCCTGGGCTCAGGTAATCCTCCTGCCTCAGCCTCCGAAAGTGCTGAGATTACAGGTGTGAGCCACCAAGCCTGGCCTCCTTTCTTCCTTCATTAAACATTCACCAGAGTCTCTCTCGGTCAGGCACAGTACTTGTCACCCAGGATATGAAGTTGAGTCAGACATAGTCTTCTCTGTGTTCTAGAGTTCACAGTTTAGCGAGGGGAAAACACTGAAGCAGATAATTATAATTCAATGTCAGAAATGCAATTATGGCTTTATGTTAGGGTATCACCTCTATTACTGAACAGGGATTCAAAAAATTCTACTGAAAGTATGAAAATGACCAAAAATAGCACTGTGAATTTTGCTCCCACATGTACTCACCATCAAATTGGTATTAATTGATCAACACTTAAGTGCACATATAGTAGTAACATTCATCGGGTGTCAGGCAGGTGGGAAGGAATGGGTATATTCCTACCTAATGGGTGTGGTGTGCACCATCTGGGGGATGGACAAGCTTGAAACTCTGACTCAGGTGGGGCAAAGGCAATATGTGTAACCTAAACATTAGTACCCCCATACTATGCTGAAATAAAAATAAATAAATAAAATTAAATTTTAAAAAATGTAGCTTCTGGTCAGACTCTTCAATGGATATTTGCTTTGTAAGTATGCTTGACCCACCTTGCATCATTTGTCTATAAATTAATTGTATATCACTGTTACATCCTGCTGGTAAAATAGCAGGCTTTAAAGTATTTTTTTCCCAATTATCATTGACAAAAATAATGTTACTGATTACTTTTTATTGCCTTCCTTTTTTCTTTAGGATGCTCCTTGCCTTAACATATTTTGTGGGTGTTTCTCTGAATCACATTTAAATAAATGAAGATAGGGAACTAGAAATTACTTTCACTCCATTGAATCTGGTGTTTACCAGTTTAATTAACCTATGATTGTAAATCTTTGAATCATATGTCAATATTCTATTTTCTTAGTCACGATTTCCAAGTGTCACCTAACTGTGGCCCCAGTCACTTTATATATTGGTATCACAGCAAAAGACTCTGAATGTGTTTATTTTCTACATATGCATTTATTCTTGGTGATGTATGCTAGTTAAATCATGGAATAGTTTTAAAATACATGACAAAAACAGCTAAGAGTAAAGAAACATCTCTTTGTTTCTGGTTGAATAAACTCTGTGACTGTGCAAGGATCCAATTTAAAATACATTCTAAAGGAATTATTTTCCAAGACTGTTCCTTCTCTCAGTAAATGGCATCAATATCCACCTGATTGCCCCAAGACAGAAATCTCAAGATCATAGATCCTCCCCTCCATCCGCCACAAGTAGAGTAGATTCTACCTCCGAAACCAATCTCTGATCAGTCCACTTCTCCCCCTACAGCCTCTACCTTCGTTCAAACCTGGAATCCTGCTGTGGTACCCAAATTTATCTTCCCACATATGTTCCTTTCTTCCTCCAACCCATTCTCTAAACTACAGCCTTTGCTCTTTCTACGATGCAGACCTTATCATTTCACTTCCCTTCATGGGCTGAACTTAACCTGCTAAATCATGTCATTTTTTTTTTTTCTGACAATACCAGCCTTTCCGCCTTAATCAGGCACATTAGCCAGATCCATAGCATTACCTCAGTGAAGCCTGAAGATCCCAAATTGACAAAGCATCCAATTCCCTTAGATAACAACAGTAAATAATAATGAATACCCACTAATTATACTACTCTGAGCATTTTAAGTGTATTAACTTTTTTTTTTTTTACAAAATCAACAATAATTATTATGGCTACCATTAATTGAAAGCCTACTCTGCAGCTAGGTGTCATATATCCATCAATTGTTACCTTTAGAACCACCTTGCAGGGTAGGTCTTTCTGTCTCCAGGAAGAATGTGAGAAGTAAAGAGACTTCCTGGAGGGTCCGGTGTTGCCTTAGGCCAGTCAGCTAGAAGCGAGTGGCAAGGTTGGAATCCAACCCCTCTGCCAGCTCTGCTCTTGACCCACCACTAACACCAGACACCCCACTGCACCCCAGACAGGCACTGATGCCACACCCACGGTGCCACGTAGAGAATGGTGGTGTAAACGGAAATCAAAATATTGCGGCCAACTCACGCAGGCTGCTTTGACTTATGACTTGTAGGGGAACACAGGCTGATGCTAAGTCGACAGCACCAAGTTTATCACTTCTTGGAGTGGCTGCCTTGGGTGCAGGCACGTGTGGGGGGACAGCGAGCTTGGGGTCATTGACATCCAAAGGAGTCACAGAAACAGGACCCGGGGAAAATTTCTTAACACCTCATTTATTTAAAACTTTATTATGATTGTTTACACTCCATGGGGAAAAACCCCAACAGATCGTGGGGTTTCAGAGAGCTGTGTTAGCCCACAAAGTCTGAAGGAGAGACTGTCATTCACAGAGCTTGATTAACCACAGACATATATTTTAGGAGGAAGTAGGCTAAGGAAAATCTGCAACACTGGCCTGTCATAGGCTTAGTTTGTTAAAAGAAGGAGCTTATTATTGCTTGACACGGGAAAACCTCCAAATGGAAAAAGCCCCAAAGTGTTTTCACTGAATAAGTTTTCTCAGTGAATGTCTTAAGGATAATCGATGATGGCCACGGGCTAGGGGCCAGGACCCAGCTCACAAGCCTGCTGCAAAAGCTTTAGGCCGTGGTAGTGTGCGATGAGGAATGCCTACTTACATGTTCTCAAGGAAGGTTTCCTAGTGCCCTCATCGCTTGGTCCAGAGGAGAAGGAAAGAGGAAGGAAAAGAGGTCACTGGCCATCCGTGCTGTCGCCCATGCTAAGTGGAGAAAAAGGTAGTTGAGAGCTCGGCTTAGCCACGCACTGATCTGCTGGGTCATCCTTGTCCTATCAGGACAGAGGCAGCACTTCCTTCCTCATCAGTGGGCTTGGTGGGGGCAGCGCCCCGGGCAGCTGGAGGGCACGGCCCTGGAGTGGGGCTCAGGGGTTCCTCTTTTATGGAGCTAATCTCTTATCTGTGCCGCCAGATGGGCCCAACTGCCAGCTCCGTACTTCATCCCAACCAGTCCAACAGGCTGCTCCAACCAGCACTGCCATTATCCTAGCAACTTGTCTTACATATTTTGGACAAACTCTTAAACTAATTTGGCCCTCCTTCTGTCATCTTCAGTCTAAAGCCTTTTATTTTCTTGATTGCGGCTCCATTTATGTCCTAGAAGGATTTTCCCTGAAGGCCTTCAACTGGAGACCTGGCGGGTAATTCATCGCATTCAAAGCCCCTTTCACCCTGAGCAGTGAGACATTTGACTCGGATGCCAGCCAAGTTGGCTCCAGCTTCAGTTGAATGAGTTTGTTAAATCCCAGGCCAATCAGACAGCCACCTACTTATAGGGAGTGCGGACGTTGGCTAAGCCACCTAGGCACCATTTATTTATTTTGGGGGGTGTTGGGATTTGGGGGCACAGAGTAGGAGGTGGAAATAGAGCAGCACCCAAAACCACACTCAGGTCTACTTCCTGACTTTCCTTTCTAACAAACAAGGTTCTTAAAAACCTAGGATTTTTGAAATAATCAATTCATATAAAGAGAGATGGAAGAAAATGGGAGTGAACTTTTGCCTTGTCCTCAGCAGGAACCACCAAAGAGGGAAGATGTGTAGCAGGACACACTAGGCCTCATGCCAAATATTACGGTTAATGGCTACTGAGTGCTAACTATGGTCCTTGTCCTTTCTGCTTCCTCCCCCCTCCCTACCTCCTTTTCCTTCCTTCATTCCTTTCCTCTTTTCCATAAAAAACTGTTGGCTAAATTAGTTTATGGTTGTAGTATCTACACATAACCTCAATTACAAGGAAAATTAAATGATTAGGGAGGTAACTGAGCTGGGATATCCAGTTTCTTTTATACTAAGAATCCCTGAGTACATAATATTTATTGCTACATTAGAAGGGAATATTATGGCCCATCTGTAGAAATCAGTTTATCTGTAGACAATGAGGCAGGCAAATTCAGAGGCATAATTAAGAGCCACCCAGAACTTTTACTTATAGATGCATGACCTGCTGCCCCTGGTAGGCAGTGGTGGATTAAGGAAATGAGGTAGCAAGCTAGGGTTAGAGTAAACTGCAGCATGATACACACTCCATGAACACCAGATGCCTGCAAACCAGACCAAGAGTTGCAAAGGTAAATGGCTCTGTCACTGGTTTAAATGCTCTTGCTAGTGTCACAGAAAGGAATTCAGGACACACACACAACTGAGCAATAGTGGCAAGTTTACTGCATGAAAGCCGCCAGGCTTAGGAAAGTCTTGTGCAGAAGCAAGAGTGACTCCCAAGAAAAAGACTGGGCAGGATGGAAAAACAGACACTGCCCTGAACTCTGAGCTGTTGCTGTTTTTATTTGTTGAAGTCAAAGAAGGCTGGGCAGTCAGTGTTTACTCTGTTCTTACTCATAGTTGCCCTGTTTTTCCACAAGCGGGGTCAAAACTTTAATGTTAACTTACTGCAATTGTGATACAGTGGGGGAAAGGTCACATTGTACCTGCACAATGCTGGGAAATTAATGGCTCTTTCTTCTCCTCAGCTCTGTTTGTTCCAGGCCTGTTGACTAACTTTCCATTCCCTGCTCCCTTGCTCATTCCTAACTGACTACCTACTCTAACAGTTGTAGGGACCAGACATGAGATATAAATGAGCAAATGCGCAGGGTTTGTTCTTTGCACATATCCTCACTTTGCATATTAAACATGGAAGCATGGTCTTCACTTCCTCTAAGAATTGTACTTCTTTTCCTTGAAATTCATAAACCTCTCATTACATCTCTTGTTTAGCTACTTCTCATAAATGCATGGGAAAAGAGAAATACTTCTCTACCATAAGAAAAAGACAGAGGTAAAAGTTTGGTGGTAAATGAAAGTAATTACTTAGCCTCAGGGTTGGGGACAATAGAGAATAGCAAAGATTGTGGCCAACTAGAGAACGAATGTGTCACTCAAGTGGGTGGTAGCCACTCTACCCCAGCAGACTACTTCATGAGAAAATATGGCTTTAATATTACCAGATATTCCAATTTTACAAAAAAGAACTGTAAATATAGGTTTTTATGAGCTATATCCTGATTTTTAAACATTGGCTCAAAAAAAAAAAAAAAGCACTGCATAGGTAAAAACAAAGAGTTTTGCAGTTTTGCAGTCAAATTAAAGCAAACATCTGGGAATCAGGGCCCACACAGAATCAGATCAAACTGGGGCAGTGGGTAAAAGACGAGTAAGCAGAGAGCACTGCAGAAGCTACAGAAGAACCAGAGACACAGAATTCTGAAACTAGCTTCACCTCAGGAACAGATTTTTCTTCTAGCTATAGCAAAAACCAGTACTGGTTTCCCAGGCAACATCCAACCTGGCATAGCCTGCAAGCTCATGTGCTTCTGCAATGCAGTATCATTTCTTGATGGGCAAATTTTGACATAATTTCCCAGAATCTTATCAATCCAGGAATGGAAGCTGGGATGGTCTATAGACTATCAACTCCCTGTCATTGGAACCAGGTTCTCCAAAGCCTGAAAACCTCAAATATCTTCTAGGTGTTGTTTATTATTATATTATATATACATATATATATATATATATATTTTTAGACAGAGTCTCACTCTGTTGCCTGGGCTAGAGTGCCATGGCATCAGCCTAGCTCACAGCAACCTCCAACTCTTGGGCTTAAGCAATCCTCCTGTCTCAGACTCCTGAGTAGCTGGGACTACAGGCATGTGCCACCATGCCCGGCTGATTTTTTTCTGTATTTTTAGTTGGCCAATTAATTTCTTTCAATTTTTTTTTTTTTAGTAGAGATGGGGTCTCGCTCTTGATCAGGCTGGTTTCAAACTCCTAGCTTGAGCGATTCTCCTGCCTCGGCCTCCCAGAGTAATAGGATTGATTACAGGGCGTGAGCCACCTCGCTTGGCCATGTTGTTTATATTTTATTTGTGATGCTTATGATGGATATATAAGGATATTTGTAACACAAATATACTGATATGGTTCTTGATCTGAATGGCTTTTTTAAAAATTTAATTTAATATTTTTGAGACAGAGTCTCACTCTATTGCCTGAGCTAGAGTGCAGTGGTGTCATCATAGCTCACTGCAACCTCAAACTCCTGGGCTCAAACTCCTGGGCTCAAACTCAAACTCACTGCAACCTCAAACTCAAGTGATCTTCCTGCCTCAGCCTCCCAAGTATCTGGGACTATAGGCATGCACCACCATGCCCAGATAATTTTTTCTATTTTTTGTAGAGATGGGGTCTTGCTGTATTGCTCAGGCTGGTCTCCAACTCCTGGCCTCAAGCAATCCTCCTTTCACAACCTCCCAAAGTGCTAGGATTATGGGCATGAGACACTGTGCCTGGTCTGAATGGCTTTTAATATTTCTTCACAATTGGGTAGAGCTTAGTGGATTGTTTTCAGATAGATGCTCAGGTTTACACACATCACTCCTCAAAGATGAACTTAAAAATATTTGCTTCTTTTGTTAAGGAATAATAATAAAATACCATTGGGTAGTATCAATAACCATACTATCTATAACTTTTAAAAAGCCTTCCAAATAACTCCAAACAAATCTATTTTTTTAGAACACTGGGGAAATAGAATTTAAATGAACAAGTGTGCCTTTTAATCCACATCACATATATTCTTTGCTGTTTAACTCTCATCATTATTTTTTCCACTTAACCTGCAGCGATCTGAGACAGACTGGAGTTATTGGTCTATTATAGCAGTGGAACGCTGTAGGCGCCTTGTATCCTGATATCAGCAAGGCATTTGGAGAAGCCTGTCATTACAGCTTTATCCTTGTAGATAAGATGTAGACATATGTATGGCCTCCATGAGAGTACATTTCAGTGTGATCGTAGTTAGTCATCTACATTCAACATATTATTCAACATTTATCAAATATTTATTAAGTACCTATTATAGCATCTATGAACTAGGCACTGCTTTAGGTTTTACAAATATAGGAGTGAATATGGATTTTTTGGTACAGAACATTGAGGAACAAATAGAGGCTTTTAAAGAAAGAGCTATATATAAAAATATCTATATGTAAATATATATGTATAACTATATAATACATACGCAATGTTTAAAAAGATAACTATAGCCTTGAGTGGAGAATAGATTGTATCTTCACCAACAGCGGATATTGCAATATCAAAATAATTTTGAAATGTCATAGGTGAAACATGTTATATCACATTATAACATGTTATATCATTATATATAACAATATGTTAGATATACTAATTAATAGACTATTTTTGAGCAGTCTTAAATTTACAGAAAAATTGAGCAGAAGGTATAGTGTTTCCATATCCTCCTTCCCTTCCCCTCAAAATCCCCCTATTATCATTTTGCATTAGCATGGTACATTTGTTACAATTGATGAACCAATATTGATATATTATTATCGACTAAAGTCCATGGTTTACATTAGGGTCCATTCTTTGTGTTGTGTAGTTCTATAGGTTTTGATAATTGTATAACATCATGTATCCACCATTACAATATCATGCAGCATAGTTCCATTCATTACCCTAAAAATCCCCTGTGCTGTACCTAATCATCCCTCCATTCTTCCCTGAGCAACCCTGGTAATCATTGCTCTTTTAACTGTCTCTATGGTTTGTGTTTTTCAGAGTGTCATGTAGTGGGAATCATACAACCTTTATAGACTGGCTTCTTTTGTTTTTTTGTTTTGTTTTTTTTTGAGACAGAGTCTCACTTTGTTGCCCAGGCTAGAGTGAGTGCTGTGGCGTCAGCC